TGTCAAATGTAAAATCAAACAGGATAGAGACCAGCTAGGTGAGAGAGAAATAAATGACTGACAGAGGAAGACAGATAAAAAGAAAAGCAGTTAGGAGTAGACTGAGTTCTGTTTTGGATTGTAGAAGTTTATTCTTTATGAAGCACTGAAGAAAAAATGTTCATGGCTTTATTGAAGCCCTTTTTAAAGCAAATCCTCATAGGAGGAAATGTAAAACTATTGGGAAACCAGCTTTTACCTCATATTAAACAAGGCTCATGAACAAAACAAGTAATCTTTAATTTCTTTATCTGCACAGATGTTAATTGATTACAATACTTGAAATCTTACTGCACTCTTTTCCATATCAGCTTGCTCTTAGGTAATCTATTTCTTGTGGAAAAAAATTGCATCAGTAGCTTCATAGTATTAGAAGCATTTAACTGACTGCAAGACTTTTATTTACTGGGTAATTTTTCTTTAGTTTTGTGTGTCTGGAGGAAGACATCTAAGAGTACTAGGAGCACTAACTAACATGACTAGTATAAATCCCCTTTTCCTGCAACCTGCTTCTAAGCTCTCTGCTTCAGCTTTGAGACGCTGAAGAATACTTTTTACAAAGATTCACAGTTCAGTTTTTTATTATGTGTATTCCCGACCAATAAGCTATTCTTTAGAAGCATTTAATTTCAACATCCCAAAAATATAATAATTTCTTTTTAGAAGGCCATAAATCCTGCAGATTCTTCATCATCTGAGAGTCAATGCATCTCACACACAGCTTGCATGCTGATGCTTGGGATTCTAACCTTCATACTCTTTGAATACCAGGTAAGGTATATGAGGGAGGTCGTTTTCTCCAACCTATGTTGTTCACACAACCCTAATGTTAAGACTTCATACTTACTTTAACCAGGGAGAAAAAAATGTCATGTGAAATTACTACTTTGTTGCTCAACATGAAATTTCAATGAAGAGACCCAAAACTTTTAAGACTCCACTACTTGAGATGAGAATTTATGTAATTTGACTCCATACCTGATCCTGATATCTTACTTTTGTGTTTGTGTCCTGGGGTGACTTCATGGTGCTGAATTGTATCCCCATTCATCTGTTTAGTCCAGAAATAAGTTTTGCACCTTTAAGACTGGTTCTGAGAGCAAAGGGGGGGGGGGAGAGAAGAAGCGCGCAGTTTGTTATCAGAAACTGCACTCACTCCTAAACATTCCTGCTCCTGGACTGTGTTGTCTGCAGACGGACAAACAGCAGGACAGAGCTCTCCTTTGCTTTTAGCTAGTTTTTAGCTATCTGAGGTGTTGTTATTATATTTCTAGAGTCCCATACCTCCTGGCTGGTTTTCTCACAAGCAGCTCTTTACAGCAGAGTTGTTCCCGCTTCTTTGTCAGGGCTCCTCAAAGGCTCTCCCTGAACAGCCAACCAGCCCAGCCCAGCCCAGCCCAGCCCAGCCCAGCCCAGCCCAGCCCAGCCCAGCCCAGCCCAGCCCAGCCCAGCCCAGCCCAGCCCAGCCCAGCCCAGCCCAGCCCAGCCCAGCCCAGCCCAGCCCAGCCCAGCCCAGCCCAGCCCAGCCCAGCCCAGCCAAGCCAACCCCCCCCCCATCCTTTTATCCCAGTTATCTTCATTAGCCACAGCTGCCACCCAATTAAGGACATCACAGCTGCAGCCCATTTAGAACAACTAGGATCGGGGCAAGGCCACTTATACAATACATATATTTTACTAGGACTCCTACTATACTGAGGCAGAGAAGGTCCCTGAACTGTGGGTTTTCTTTTCTGTGGAACTGTTTAAACCTGCTCTGGACTGAACACCCAGAAGAGCACTGGCAGCTCGCATCTGTGGCCCACCAGGCTGGGCCTGGGCCGCGGCATTTCTAGTGCCAGAGGGACTGATAATAGACTGGATGAGCTGAGCTGTAACCCACGAAAAGGACTTTCTGAGTTTGTCATCTCTTCAGATTGGCAAGATGCTTTATTGGTTTATATTGTAAATTTTTTTTCGTGCTGGTGAATGCTTTGCCTGTTAAATAAACAGGTTTTTTCCATTTTTCTCCAAGGAAATATTTTCCTGAACCAGTTGGGGGAGGGGCCGATTGAATCTGCTTTCTAGAGGAACCCCTTTGGAGCTTTTGTCTCAAATTTACCCTAAACCAGGACAGTTTGTTACAGTAGATTGCTTCTACGGGGGTGGGGATGTGGAGCTATTAACAAAGTAAACTTGGCCTTGAAGACAATTTCAGTAAGATTTTGGACTTTAAAACCATTTTCCCATATCTGCTTTTTTTAATTTTTAAACATTTCCTATAGGGAAATAGGCTTAAATAAAGAAACAACTTCACCAATAGAAACAACTTACAGCAAAATTCTTGGTCTACTTTAAGGCATAATTTTACGTTTTTAGTGCCAATAGTTTCTTGTAACTTGCTCTATCTTACATTAGATATCTTGTTATAAACAGTTAAGAAGTCTCATGGGAAATTATGTATATGGATTTAAATAAGATTTTCTGCCTGATAACCACTGCTGAGTGACATCTTCCTGACAGTGTGTAAGAAGAGGCAACTGTCTTCTGGAAATTACACTGAAAGGGAACAATAATGGGTAAAAGTGCTAGTAGTTCTTTAGCACAGTAGTAAATTTATTTAGTAAAAGTTCTGTAACAACAGGAGAGGAAAAATAAAAAGCCTTCCTTCAGCAATTACACATGAAGAAAGATAGAAAAGGAGAAACGGGGGACTACATTACCTGGAGCAATGACTTCTAAGCCACTATGGACAACACTGGGAATGTCAGAAGATAAAAAATTTAATGTTTTAATTCAGAATCTGAAAGGATTGACAGGAACATAAATACACAGGTCAGATTTCTAAAAAGATAATTTTAAAAATTATTTTAAAATATATATAAGATTTTTTAAATTGAATTTGAGTGTCAGTGGCTGCACATGAGATACTATTGTACATTCACAAAAACCTTGCAGACAGGCAATTTTGAGAATTGCTCAAGTACATTTCTGTAAAAAAACAGGACAAAAAAACTCCACCTAAGGCTTTTCTGAATTTTATAAACTGCTTCTCTAAAATTCAAGATGCATATAAAAAATTCAGAATTTCTGGTTAAATAAAATGGAAACACAGTAACAGTTTACTCAAATGGAAACTAAAAACCTAGTCCATAAGCCACCATTTCCTATGTCAGATCCCTAAGAGATAACCCTCACCTATTATCTTAAAGCTCAGTCGAGCTTATATTCTGAAACTGACAAGACAAAAAAGTGTGATGTAAAGTGTGATGAAGTATGATACAATGCCTTACCATCAGTTTTGAGACATTACTATGTAAACAATAATTTTTACATTTCTAAATTGACTTTCATTATTCTGATAATAAATATTTCAAAGATCCTAGATTATTATAATATAGGACAATGAATTTCAGACTCTGCCTCTTTAATTATATCACTTACTATGAAGCCAACACAACACTGGAAGAACTAACTTCCTTAACTTACAACATGCTTCTTCCTACACTGATATTAAAATAATCCAGCCTGGATGTGATTTTTTTTACACTGTACAAAGATTACAAATGTCTACCTAACTGGACTTTTTGAATTTGATAAGTGTCACTTCACTCTCTTTTCTTTAGGCTCAGCAATACAAACATCAACTTGAGCTGTAGTTTTCTAAGCTACTGTACAAGACAAGTACTGTGCTAAAAATATGCAGTTACTCGAACTGTGAGATATTTTCTAGAGACCAATATTTTTATGAGATTCAAATTAATAGGAAATGCCCTTCCTGTGTTTTTTAGGTTGCGAGGCTAATGAATTTACCTTCTTAATGGAGGAAAAAAAGGAGGGAAGTGGAGAAATAAGTTTGCATTTTTAATTTCTTTGAATTAAAAAATCCCCAAGTTTTTAAAGGAAATGCATCTAGAACCTGGCACCTTTGTCAAGTTGTACTTTAATTCACACCTAGAACTGATGGAAATGCTTGTGAAGGAGGTGAGTGCAAAGATAGACTCACTTAAAGTCAAGGTATTTTTATATAGAGAAATGAACAGCTCTAATTAGAAAGGTCTGGCCACACATATACAGGTATGACACATCTAATTCACTACAACTATACAAAAACAGCCTATATGAATTGAACACTCAATCTGAACAATACAAAACACTTTGCAGTACAATACAAGAAAACAATTTACTGATTTATGATTAGGACTTCCATATACTACAGCAAAATGGCTGTCAGTACCGATTCTGAAAAAAAAAAAAAAGTGCGCTTCACAATCAACTAAGTCTTCAAGTCAGCTTGTTAGGAAATTCAGTGCTTTATGTACAGCAAAAACATGGACCTGAAATACACATGCAAATTTCAATTTTAATACTAGTTATACCAGTTATAGATTTGATTTTAAATGGAAAATTTCTGAATGGAACAAAAATTAAAAGAAGTCAGGTTAATCAAAGATAAACCTTATAAAATGCTTTAAATGTGTTTTCTTTCAAAGTTTCAATTATGTCATCACTTTCAAAAGAATTTGCTTATTCTAAGGCCTTGTATCAAAAGTTTTATTTCATAATATACTCACATACAAGCAGATATTCCCACCTATTTTTCTAATATTTTTCCCCCACATAATATTTATGGAAAACCTTAAGTAGTACTGGTACAAACCAGAAAAATTACTTAACTATGCTCTGGCCAGAACATGAGCTGGGAGGAAGGGAAAAAAGATAATTAAAGTCACAGGCAAATGGCAGCCTGCCCTCTACCCTCTTGCTGTCACAAACCTCCCAAACATCTTGATAAGAACAGCACCTGTGTTGTCAGAGCAGTGAAAAGGGCAGAGAACTTGAGGCAGGACTAGAAGAAGCTCTTTTCTTTCAAACTTTAGGTAGAATATAATTTGTGATTTATCATTTTTAGAGGCCTTCAGTACATTTCCTAAAGATAAAAGAGGAAAAATTTCAGCTATGGAAATAAACAAAAATCTCACCTTATTATGGTCGTACTTATATGGGATTTTGAGGGTATCCATGGCTCTGATCATGGCCTGCATTGCTGTAAATATATTCTGGTACACCAATTTCGTAAAGCCCCTTTTGTCTTCATCAGAGTAACCTGATCCATGAATAATTCTCATCTGTTTGATGAATGTGCTTTTGCCACTCTCTCCTGTGCCTGCAAGACAAATAAGAATATACTTCAGCCAATGGACACAAACATGACTTTTCTGCACAAAGTGGACAGCTTGTTAAGTTCAGGGCAAAACACTGTCAAGTGGTTATGGTGCTTGCAAGGTGCTTGCTTCAATATCAAGACAGCAGTAACACAGTAACAACTGCAGCAACATTGAATTAAAAAAAATTTTTGAAGACAAAATACAAGCAAAAAAAACAAAGCAATGAGTTAATAACTAAAACAAAACTTCTCCAAAAAATCTAGAATACACCACTGGGTATTTAAAATTATAAGCATAAAATTCCAATCCCAAAGAAATAGTTCTCAACTACAGGGAATTACTATTAGATGTTCTATCACAAAAAATCATAGAGTAAGAAAAAAAATTAGCTTGCATGGCCAACTTTCAGAACATTATGGTAAGCAGCAATATACAACCAATGCATAATTCTTAGAAAGCCAAATAATGTAACAATTATGGTTGTGCAAACTTCAACCTCAGAAATATATAAAATCAGCTTTAAGTAAAATTTGGCTTGTATTTGTTAATGCACAGTCACGACTTCCTTTACATTTCTTTGTATCTTTGTACTTTACACAAAGCATAAATAACGAATAAATTAATATTCTGCATGTTTACCAATTTAAAGTTAAGATTTGCTTGTTTGGAATTTTACACAAAACATATCACATAGCATTTTTTCCTTTGGCAAAATTCAGTCTCTCTGTGATTAGCTGAGCTTATCTAAGCAATCAAATCGTATGAATACTTTATAAGAAGGAACTGAAATTTAAAATAGTTGCGCAGCCACATGAATGCTGTATGTACACCTAGCTATTTAGCTCCCTAAGAAATGCAATGCATTCAAATGCATGCAGTACTTAGCCTTGCAGCCTAGATTCTATTTTGATCATTTTTATAAAGCTTTCAGGCCTCATTTATGATATAATACTTGATTACCAGGACAAAGAAAGTTTTATGCGTTACATGATATTTTAGGTGTCTCAGAGTACTGTATTTCACAAGCAGTGCAATGTTGCAGTACAAGCTGATTCGTACTGAACATGAATCCGGTTATAAATAAGAAATCCAGCCCAGTTCCATAAACCAGCCTATGGGCTGACTGACAGAGGTTTCAACCAATAACAACTCTCCTGAAGTAAAAGTATTTGACTGGTTCAGAATCTAGGAGGTGTGGAAATTAGACCAATGACTGTTTAGAGCTGAGTTTTTGAATTGCCTATAACAGCAAGCCCCAAACAATAAAACACACTGTTTGGCTGAGGAGCAACGAAGGTCTGTCATGTGTTATGTCTCAGACACATGAACTGTTATGAGTAGAACAGCTGCCCATTTTTTTTTTTAAGGTTGCAGAGTTAGCAGGTTGGGCCAGTTGCTGCCAGGGGTGGAGTTCTAACTGTTTGTTATTGTAATCACTGGTCAATTTTGTTAACTACCTGTCGTTGATGGTTAAGAATTCCCCCTTTTGTGGAGTGACACCCTGCTGCTTCCTAGAGGATGACACCCAGAAGGTGAAGGGGAAGGGACATCGACATGCAAATGACATCGGATCCAGCATGCAACGGGAGAGACCCCTCACCAAACCTAGCCAAAAACCCCTAAAACAACGAGCCAACAGAAAATTGACGAATCAAAGTGATGACTAGACGTGTGTGACTGTGGTCACAGGGGTTTTCAGGATGAGAGAGAGGCGAGAATGTTGATTCCATGATCAGAAGGCTTGATTTATTATTTTATGATATATATACTACATTTTAACTATATACTATATATACTAAACTATAACTATATACTATTATATACTAAAAGGAGTAGAAAGAAAAGTTTTCAGAAGGCTAGCTAAGAATAGAATAGAAAAGAATGATAACAAAGGAGCTCTCTCTGACTCTGTCCGAGAGAGCTCAGTCTTTGACTAGCTATTAATTGTAAACATGTAAGATGGGCTAATCACAGGTGGACCTGTTGCATTCCACAGCAGCAGATAACAATTGTTTACATTTGTTGCTGAAACTTCTCAGCTCCAGCAGGAAAAATCTTAAGAAAGGATTTTAATGAAAATATGTCTGCAACAGACATGAGGAACAGAATCTAGTATCCGCCAAGGCCTTTTTACCCCTCACCCTAACCTAAAAAGATGCCAACTAGACAGAGGACCTTGAATGTTGAACCGAAAAGCAAGGGATTTCCCGATGCTCTCATGAGGACGGAACCCCCAGCTCTGCCCACAGACCAGTGGACAAAGCTGCACTCTTCCTCCTCTTCCGAGTCACTCCTGGGAGCATCGGTGGCGTGAGCGTGGACCCGTCAGTTCTCCCCACCGGATCTGATCACTTTTAATAAAGGCATTAAAAAGGAGAAAAGTCTCCTGCCCGTGTTTATTTCATGAACATCATGTGACAGTGCAATGCAAGGTTAAAGCATGATTCTGTGTTTGCAACTCTTAAGTGTTTCAGGTAGTACTCCTCAAAATCTAACCTCAAAGTTTCTACAAGATTTTGTCTTTACTCTGTGTGACTGTTCATTAAACTCCCACTTAAATTTTTGGCTATCACAGCTCGTGCTAAGGAATAATGTATGTTAGGAGCAGAGTCATTAAGTCAAAGCCAAGCACTAGAGTCGGCAGGACAGGTGGCCAAAAATAACTAAAGGGCCATTAACCAACCATTATCACCTGCAAATTGTTGTTTCCAGGAGCTGTTATCTTTTGTTTGACAGTCTGGTCAGAATGTGCTAAATTATGGAAATGATATAGACCAAATCTCCAAGATGGAGAGTATAGAACACCAGCTTACCTAAAAAGCTTTTGAAGTATATCCAACAGCAGTTGGACTGCTGAGGCTTTCATGCTTCCTGGTGTGATACAGGACATACCTGCACCGTGATGGAAGAGGAAGGATGAGCACACTCACTGTCGGCTAGGCAACTAATTCTTTTCCTCATAGGTGTGTTACCAGATAATAAATGGCCTTCACCTGGTGAGCTAACACAATGCTTATTCTCTGAAACTACTGGCCTACAGAAACTGCACAATGCCCATTGTGTAAGAAGGAGAACTGGAAGTTAGCCAGCCTCAGTGTTCTGCCAACTCAGCCAGGTCACCTGGAACACCAGGGTCTAGGAACACCAGGGACCACCAGAGAGACCCCCAGGACAGAAGAACGCACGAGTAAAGGGGAGGGGAAATACGTTAATGATTTCAGGGAAATGATTATCACATGTTTGTTTAGTCTGGGACAATCAATGAATATGTATGCAAAATACAGTATCTAAACAGAAACTTTCTTGTACCCAGCATGCACAGCTTTGGGAGGAGCTATTCCCCCCGAGCATCCAGTCAAATAAAGAATGCCTGCTTCTTAATGCTACATTGGTGTTAAGGGGTTTCTTATTTTACCGAATTTTTGGTAACAGTTTTGGTGATCCAGATGGGACAGACTCCTGATTTTCCACGGATCCAAGGGATCTCAGGACTTCCAGCCAGCACCGAGGGATTCTCAGGGAGAACCTTCGTTTCCTGGTCCAAAGGAAATCGGAACAAGATCCCTGGTAAGATAAAGGAATTCTTTACTTTACTCTAAAGATGTTAACTGTTAACCTACCTATAAGGCACAGCAAAAGCTACACAGGGTTTGGTTTAAAGGTACCTAAGGTGAGAAAAGGAAAGGGTTAGAGTCCCTTCAAAAGGGAAGGGTTAGACTCCCTTCTAAGGAGCTCCTAAACAGTAATTTGTTATAATGAGAAACAAAACCTCAAAAGGGGCATCACAGGTGCCACTGCTGGGATGTATCTTGAAACACTGGAAACAAATTTGGGGTATTCCCCTCATGCGTGAAAAACTTAGAATTCTGTAATCAGTGGTAGCCACTTTACATGCTGGAAGATCAAAAGAAGTGGCCTAAGGATGGAACCTTACAGTATAACACCCTGTTGCAATTAATGTTGTTTTGTAGAAGGGAAAAGAAGTAGAATGAAGCTCCTTATGTTGACTTGGTTTTCACCCTAATAAATCATCCAGAGTGGCAAAAGGAATGTGGGAGGACCCTGCAAGATCCATTAATTTTTGCACTTGAAAAGGAAAAGAAAGGCAAAGGGTTGAAAAGGTGATGTTCTGTCTGCAGCCTAGGGCAGAGGTGCTTAAAGTGTGGAATAGAGGACAAGGATGATTTAGAGATGATGGTTGCTCTACGGCAAAGAGCAGGTGGCGTGAATGGTGAATCAGCTGGGAACAGGTGGGGTGAATGATGAATCAGCAGGGAACACAGCTAGATGCATAAGTAGGTCATGGGACAGTGGACTGAAACGGAGAGAAAACTTTAGGGGATCAGAGGATTTTAGCCTGATTGCAGGACCCACTAGAAGGCAGCAAGGAGATGTTGGAGGGATGCTGGGGATATTCTGATGGCTCCCTTCTGGCAGGCGGTTGGGAAACATGGTCCAGGAAAAGTAAAGACCCCATTTTCAATTGTGGATTTAATGTCATGGGAAAAGGCAGCAGGAGTTTATAGAGAGGATCCAAATAGAGTTGCTAAAGTATTTGAAACCATAATTAGGACTCAGGACCCTGACTGGAATGATATACAAATGATGTTAGATATGTTGTTGGATAACACAGAAAAAAGGATGGTTTTGACCATGGCCAGAAAGCAGGTGGAGGGGGCACATGCTAATGGAGACTTAGGAGGAACTGTAGATGAGATTTTTCCTTCAACAGATCCAAGGTGGAACCCTAATTTATTTGGACTCCAAGACTGTTTAACAAGATATCAGAGATGAATATTGTTTGATGTAAAGCATGCTACACCAAAAGACATGAACTGGTCAAAACTGTATGAGGTAAAGCAGGACAGTACTGAATCCTCTACAGCTTTCATGGAACTATTGAAGGTGACTGCCAGAAAAATATACTGATCTGGATCCTGAGAATCCAGAAGAGGCTGTACAGTTAGCAACTACCTTTATAGGCCAGTCTACTCCAGAT